TCTGGGGGTTCCCGGAAGTCGGCAGAAATTCCTCTGTTGTGTGGGTTTTGAAGCCACACAAACACTTTATTTTTGTCCTGGATAGACCATCAAATTGACTCAACAACCAAGACAGACTTTTAAATTTCATTTCATTTTTCTATTTGAGATTTAAAATTTTCATATTGATTCAATATTGTTTAAGTATTATTGAAAGTTCTTAGACTTATATCCACTCAAAATTATAAATTTTTAATGTACACTTTCATTATTGTCTTTTCAAGCTTTCTAATGTTGGTCCCTAAGCGTATCTTCTTTGCACAACTGAGAAACCAAGCATGTGTGAGTGAATATCACAATCCTACACCTAGGACTGAATCCTGGAGGAAGTTCTGTGAGTCACCCCCGGCGTCCTCCAGGACCCACATTCCTGTGAACTATGGAGAGCAGTCGCACTGTACACGGGAATCCCAGGACTCCCTGCGACCTAAAATATCATCAGAGAAAATTCTAAAATGTACGACCTAGAGTATTAAGATGCCAACCCAGACATACGCAAGTTAGGAGTGTGAAAATGGAAGAGTGGTAACGGCAAGGGCACCTTACGAAGTCTGAAAACCGCTTTTAGAAGCAGATGCTGCAAGGCCTGCGCTCATAGGCCAACGTGAAGGGGTGGCAAGAGGCTGCCCACAGTCAGACCCGAGGTCCTAAAGCTCCAAGCGGTGGATGCAGCTCGCATCACGTCAGGAAGTGTGGTAGGTGCACGTGTCCAAATGGTGAGCTGGTGTGCATTTTATATTGCTGGCTTGCAGATTTCAGCTGGGTGAAATTTTCTCCATTCACTTAGTCTTTCTTGCAGAGAAAACAGCTGTAAACAAATTTAAATTTTGCTGTAACCTCAAAGTGACTCACGAGTTTTCAATCTTGTTTGGAGAAACCACACCGCTCGGAACACTCAGACTGATCAATCCCCCAGTCACCTCCCTGGCTGAGGTATGATAAGGGATAGAAGAGACAGACACAGTGATGAGTCACTGACCAGAGGACTGGAGGTCATGCACATGGGCACGATCTGGTGAGAAACAGGGTGTTCTTGCATGAGTAAGCTGTTGATTACTGGGCAACTTGTTTTACAATTGGGTTAACATTTAATTCTGTGGAATTTTTACCAGAGTCAGAGAGTCCTCAGGTGAAATCAGAGCTTGCCTTTTGAGACATGACAACATCAAGGGTAATGGAGACCTCTGTTGAGGTCAGTGAATAAGGAGTTTTGTTTCCTTATGCCAACCGCTGGCTCACCAGACAAGGGACATAGGCTAGGACACATGCAGCCTTTAACGTAGAAAGCCAATTCATAAATTTGTATTTCACTCAAGGTGGTCTCCATCAACTGACTGGATCAGGACACAGAGATCTTCACTTGAGTCTGCTGCTGCACATATTTGTGGTGCCCCTGTGCTCTCCCCCGTTAGCCAAGAGGAGACCCTACTGTTTTAGTGCAGTTCTTCAGTGATTTTCTTTGTGTAAATATAGATAAAGCTTTGAGGTACAATGAAAGGGAGAAAATATGAGTTAGGATACACACAGACTACTGCTATCCATCTTGGAGTGAAGTTGTTTATTGTTCTGCCTCTTCTACGGTCCCTCTGAAATCAGCACACTTAGATTTCAATGCAATGGCTGCAGGAATCTTAGATTTGGGGATTATCTTCCTTGCTCAGACGGGGATTGGGATCTTGGGAAACTCTTCTCTGTTTTGTTTTTACAGCTTCTGTCTGCTCACTGGATATAAGTTGAGACACACAGACATCATTCTCAACCAACTGGTCTTAGCCAACTCATTAGTCCTGCTCTCCAAAGGGATATCTCAAACAGTCGTGGCTTTTGGGTGGAAGTATTTCCTGGACAGTGCTGGGTGTAAACTTGTCTTTTACTTTTACAGAGTGGGCACTGGACTGTCCTTCTGCACTGTCTGCCTTCTCAATGGCTTCCAGGCCGTTAAGCTCAACCCCAGCATTTGTAGGTGGATGGAGCTCAAGCTTCAATCCCAAGGGTTCATTGGCTTCTGCTGTTTCCTATGCTGGATTCCGAATCTCTCAGTAAATTCATATATTGCTATGATAGTGAGGGGTCCATTGAGTTGCAGAAATGCGAGTGTGAGAACCAGCTGTGGACAGTGCTCCTGGGCAATGTCAGAGAGACATAGCTTGCTATATGCACTCTTATATTTTTCCCTTGACTTTATCAGTGTAGGCTTCATGATAATGGCCAGTGGCTCCATGGTCCTGGCCCTGCACAGGCACAGGCAGCGCGTCCAGCACATCCGCAGCCACAGCCTCTCCCCGAGACCTTCCCATGAGGCCAGAGCCACACGCACCATCCTGGTCCTGGTGAGCTCCTTCGCTACCTTGTATTCAGTCTATATTACTCTGACAATCTGGACGACTCTAGTTTCAAATCGCGGCCAGTGGTTAGTGAACAGCTCTGTGTTTGTGACCTCATGCTTCCCGGCGTTCAGCCCCTTTGTGCTCATGGTCAGCGACTCCAGGCTCTCTCTGCTCTTCACTGCTTGCAGGGAGAGGTCGACTTGTTCTTCCTCAGTAGTTCAAGTTGTGTGAGTCTATTCTCCTCTTCACATGGGGTTATTTCAACATGTGATAACATTTAGTTATCTGTTGTAGGAAGTTCTGATACCATTTCAAAGAATACCCATGATATCCTTGTATCCTCGGATCTTTTAATGAGAGGTCAAATGAACCTGCATACTTAGTTACAAAAGATTACTTGGTCTATGTAATTATTGATGTGTCAAGTTGAGAAGTCTAAAAGTTTCCTTAAGTGACTCAGCAGGGAGCCAGGGTTCTTATTTTGTGAACATCCTCATCCTGAGCAAGAGAAGGGAATGGCCACTGCCAGAGATGCTACACTTCCACTCCAGGGTAGCCTGAATATGATGTGAAGATGGGAGAGGGACTGATTGGGTGCCACAGCTGCTACCCTCCTTTTGATCTTTGCTGTTTTCTGCTGCCAGAAATGGCTGTTCTCTCTCATGTGCCACTCTGCCTCGGAGCCAGCTGAGCATGAACTGACATCTCCACCAACTCAGCTAAATGCACATTTCCTTCCTTAATTGTGAGTGTCAGATGTTTGTCCCAGCAGTGAGTAAAAAGTTACTGAAATGGCCTGTCACCGTGGCTCCTATGAGGAGGCACAGAAGTGATGTTGTTTTGTTTTTTTCATTCTTTCTGAGGCAGGGTGTCATTCTGTAGTTCAGGCTCATCTTGGAATCACTGTGTGGCCCAACCTGAACTTGAACTCACTGTGATTCTCCTGCCTCAGCCTCCTGAGTTCTAGGATTACAGACATCCACCACCATGCCCAGCATTTAAGTATAGTTGAATCAAGTTTTTTTTTTCTCTGACAGATGGAAGATGTGGAGAGCCATTCATTGCTTGACCTCTGACAGAGACACGTTGAGCTCAGAGGATCTGCAAAGCAGAGCCTCGCATGGATGTGTCCCATGAACCCCCTGGGGGCTCTTAGGCTTATGATTTGCATGAAGGAAAGTGCACAATTAATTACTCAGAGCTTTGGCATGACATAATTGTGTGAATTTTTTTTTCTTCAGATATTGGCTCCTTGCCCCCTACCTTGTAAACCTGAAATAAGGGACAAACCTAAGCCAAGAATATTCAACAATAACAAAGAAGTTTAGTGTGAAGGTCTTGAGGCAGTGAGAAAGTACTCCAGAGAGCTGAGAGTTTTGGTCGGGCAGAAATAGAACAGAAAGAACGGTGGTTGATTGTTTCCATGACTACTCCTACTTTATACTATGTACTTATATTAATCAAAATTTAAATTATTTCTCACTTATAGATGAAAAGCCACATCTGTTAATCTTTTCATAAAGAAAGCTTATGTGTAATCACTTGTGTATAAACAAAAGCTACTGAGTTTTGCTTTGGGTTGAGGAGACATACTCTTCTCCGCTCTTAACCTCACTATGTTTCTTTGAGTCTTTTTTCTTCATCTCCTGTTTTCCTCTCTCGGGGTATAGTTCCCTGGAAATCTTCCCTCTGCCTACTCATCCTTCCATGCCAGTTATAGACATCACTGGAAATCTGGCTCACTTTGAACCATCTCAATGACAAAACCAAATAGGTGTGGTTCCTTGGCCACCTCCACAATCCAGCTGGAATCCGTGGACTAGTTGTAACATTGATGAAGGGCCCCTTACTTATGCTACTCCAGAACAAATAAGTATGGATATCAAGAATAAATTAATGTACCAGTAAGGACATGATCAAGGTTTTCAAGCAGTCTTACAGAAGAGAGAGTCACAACCTGTGAAGAAATTTGAAAGTGCAATCCTGGGAGCAATTAATCCAAATTTGGTCATTATTATTCAAGGAGCTACTGGGTGTGGTACAAGCACACAGCTTCCACGGTTTATCCTGGATGACTTTATCCAGAATGGTCAAACGGCAGCGTGCAACATTGTGTAACTCAGTTTGCGAGGATCAGTGCAGTTTCTGTGGCAGAGAGAGTTGCATGTGAAGGCGGTAAAGAACCTGGAAAAAGCTGTGGCTATCATGTTTGATTTGAGTCTATTCTTCCTCATCCTCAAGCCAGTATAATGTTTTGTACTGCAGGTGTGCTACTGAGAAAATTAGAAGCAGGAATTCGAGGAACCAGTCATGTAACTGTTGATGAAATACACAAAGGAGACATTGATACTGACTTTTTTTGGTTTTCTTGTGTGATGTGGTTCTGGCTTATCTGGAAGTTCGCACTGCTGTTATGTCTGCTACTGTGGACATCAGCATGTTGTGTGAATATTTCTTCAATTGCCCCATCACTGAAGTTTGCTTTTTTTTTTTTTTTTGTGGAACCGGGGATTGAACTCAGGCCCTTGCGCTTGCCAGGGAAGTGCTTATTCCACTGAGCCATATCCCCGGCCCCTAAGTTTTTTTTTTTAAATGTATTTAGTACAGAGGATACAGGGTCTACAAGGTCTCACTACGCGATCAGCCCGTAGTGATCCACCAGTGTTCAGCCTCCTAAGAGCTGGGATTACAGGTGCACGCCACCATGCCCAGCCTCAACTGCCATCTCAGTCTCAGTGTCACCATGCCCAGGGGCAGGGCCCTGGCACGGCATGCCAGGGATTGAACCCCAGCCCTCTGCTCTTCCTAAGCAGACCCTATAGTCTGCTGAGCTATCTGGCCGGCCCTGCCCCGTCATTGAAGTTTAAGGAAGGACTTTTCTGGTTCAAGAATATTTTTTGGAAGAAGATTGCATTCAGAGGACCCAATTTGTTCCTCCACCAGCAGATAAGAAAAGGAAGGACAAGGTAGATGATAGTGGTGAGGATAACGATGAAAGCTGCAACTTGATCTGTGGAGATGAGTGTGGTCCAGAAACAAAGCTGAGCGTGGCTCAGCTGAATGAAAAGGAGACGCCTTTTGGGCTCACTGAAGCTCTGCTTAAGTACATTGAAACCTTGGATGTTCCTGGAGCTGTGTTGGTTTGCTGCCTGGCTGGAATTTGATTGGTACTACGCAGAAGCATTTGGACCGAATCTCCATTTTGGAAGTCATAGGTATCAGATTCTACCTCTACATTCTCAGATTCCTCGAGAAGCACAGCGCAAAGTGTTCGATCCAGTGACCAAGGTAATTTGGTCCACAAATATTGCAGAAACAAGCATTATCATAAATGATGTTGTTTATGTCATTGACTCCTGCAAGCAGAGTGAAACTGTTTACTGCTCACAACATGACTGACTATGCTACAGAATGGGCATGCGAGACAAACCAGGAACAGCGGAAAGGCTGATCTGGTCCTGTGCAGCCTGGATTCTGCTTTCCCCTCTGCAGCCGAGCTCATTTTGAGAGACTTGAAACCCATGTGACCCCAGAGATGTTTTGAACACCATCGCATGACATTGCTTTGAGCATAAAACATCTGCGTCTGGGAGGAACTGGCCAATTCTTGGCCAAAGCAACGGAGCTTAGAGCTGATATTCTCTGACTGAGAAACAGGAGTACTGTCCACTGCTCCACATGCCTGTGAGGAATCACGGGACAGATGGAAGGCTGTGTATGGAAGTGGATAAAGCATGCCAAAGGGGTGGGGTGGCACACTTTCCCACTTTCATGCATTGGAGGATGAACCTCCAACTGTGGGCCTCTTTCTCTGCTAGGCTGTTGGCGACCGAACTGGCAATGGTTTTGGAACTGTGATGTACATGGCCCAGAGACCCATGTGGGAGGATGTACTACAGGATGATTCCTATTCCCTGTACAAAAGGGAAAGAAGGGTCTCACCCAATGGTGCAAGTACTGATGGGGTTGAACTGTTTCTTAGCTCCACAATTGACAGCAGTTGCTATGCAGCTCAAGACAGAAGTACTCTGGTTAGAAATTGCAATAGCCAGGTCAAGCCAATGGGCAGAGTTGTGGGTACTGTGATTGCCTGTGATACACAAAATGACCTCCTAAATATGTACATGTGTGGAGCCATCTTGAGGGGACGAATGCCCAGGCTTCCAGCTTATGCAGAGGGGTGGATAAGACACTGTCCCTTGTGGGGTGCTGACCTATGGTGAGATGGATGGAAACATGGCCAAAAAGCAAACCATGTAGGGTGCCATGGTTCAAGACATAAGTCCCTCCTTTTGCTGGGAAATGACTTAGCAGATGCCTTGACCACGCACTGCAATGGCTGACCACTAGGAATAGTGTTTGACTAGAGAAACTGACTGCTGATGCCACTAGTAATAGCGTCTGACCAGGAAACTGACTGCTGCATATGGGATATGACTAAGAATAGCATCTGACTAGAGGTAATATCTGGCCAGGGCCAAGGCCTCCTGACTTAGCCCTCCATGTTGAAGCCTTGCTCAACATATGGCCCAGACCTTGGATGTTACATGCCAGGCTTTGATGCTGTTGATGGATGGAAGTGTTCAAATGAGAAAATGTTTTTGTGAAACCACATGGTTCTTGATTTGTTAACTACAGGTACGTGTGCCTTGATATATATATATATATATATATATATATATATATATATATATATTACATTTATATATACCTTTGGTCTTTGAGGAGGTGGGATGAGGGGAACCACTCAGACTGCTTCAAAACTCAGGGGCCCCCAAGGACATCTGAGGATGTGACTTGGTTAGCACAAGTGCACAGTGGGATACATTTATGTGACCATGACTTGGCACAGGTCAGCACCCATATGCTGGTCATGGCACTCTGTAAGGATGTCTGTATGAGATAATAATGTGTATAAGAATTGTACAGTAAAGACCCAGGCAACTGTCTTGTGTTCTTTTTTCTTCTTTTTCAAAATGTATTTAGTGCAGGGTCTACAGGGTCTCACTACATAGATTGGACTCGTAGTGATCCTGTTTTCAGCCTCCCAACTACTGGGATTACAGGTGGGCGCCACCATGCCCAGTCTCAGTTGCTGTCTTAGCATGCCTCGGGGGCAGGGCTGGCATGGCACACCAGGGATCGAACCCAGTCCAAGTCTGCCTAAGCAGGCACTGTAGTCCGCTGAGCTATCTGGCTGGCCCTTCCTATGCTTTCTTTGGTTTTCTGAT